TCCATTAATATGTGTAGGTGAGTAGTTCTCAAACTTTAGAAAGCATTATAAACACCTAAGGGACTATTAGAATTCTTTATCTCCAAGTATCTGCCCCAGAGAATCTGAACGTGTTGGACTAGAATAGACCCATATGCACCAGCAGCAACTCTAGTACAAGTGGTTCACTCTCAGAATGGATCATACTCTGAAAAACAGTGAGATCCTAGGGCATCCCAGTCATCACTGGAACTTCAAGCTCCACAGGGAGAAAATCATAACCACAGGTTTCCAAAAAGGACTAGCTGTCCAGCTCCTAAGACATTCTAGTTCAGTAAAAAGGAACAGATAGAACAAGAAAAAACGTGAGAGAAAGGTTAGATAACGCGAAGACTTACTCATGGTGACGTGACTTCGAGGGTGGTGCAGAGGTAGGTGCAGCCCGTGGGGTCATGAGAAGTTTCCTAAAGTCTTCATTGGTAAGTTTTGATCTTGAAGAAAAGGCAAAGGTTTAAAAAATTACGAACCAATAAAAAATGAAAGAGGAACATGTAAAAATCTTGGTTAAAGTTACTAAAAATCAGGGCAATAAAAATTAAAACAAAGATATATCACCTTTAATGCATCAGAATGTTAGCTACTAAAAAGTTTGATAAGTATAAGCGAGAATTTGGAAAGTGGACACTCTCATAAACTGCTGGTAGAAACGTAAGCCAGTATAACCAATTTGGAGGGTAATTTGATAGTATTTATTAAAACCTAAGTGTAAGCTGGGTGTGGTGACTTACACCTGTAATCCCAGCACTGGGAGGCGGAGGCAAGAGGATTGCGTGAGCCCAGGGGTGCAAGGCCAGCCTGAGCAACATGGCAAGACCTTGTCTCTACAATATGTCGTCTCTACAATAAATCAAAATTAGTCAGGCATGGTGGCACACACCTGTAGTTCCAGCTACTTGGAAGACTGAGACAGAAGGATGGTCTGAGCCTAGCAGGTCAAGGCTGCAGTGGCTGTGAACATGCAACTGCACTCCAGCCTGGACAACAGAATAACACTCTGACTCAAAAAAAACAAAAACAAAAACAAACCCTAAGTATATATATCCTTCGACCTACGATTCCACTTATTTATATTTAGCTTAGCCAATTATTGGCATATAAGAATGCCTATAGGCCGGGCTCAGTGGCTCAACCTGTAATCCCAGCGCTTTGGGAGGCCGAGGTGAGCAGACTGCCTGAACCTGTGGGTTCAAGACCCGCGTGGGCAACTTGGCGAGACCTCATCTCTACAATAAATCAAAAAATTAGCAGGTGTGGTAGTGCGCGCCGGTAGTTCCAGCTACTTGGAAGGCTGAAGCGGAAGGATTGCCAGAGCCCAGCAGGCGAGGCTGCGGTGGCCAGGAGTGGCCACCGCACTCCAGTCTAAGCAACAGAGTGAGACTCCAACTCAAAAAAAAAAAAAAAAAAAGAATGCCTATAAAAGAGGTTCAGTTATAGCTTTGAAAATAAGTTAGAAACAACATAAATGTTTATTAACTGGAGAATTAACTCAATAAACAATGATGGTGTTTTCCACATGAGGAACAGACAACACTGATGGTACAAGAGATCATTTTAGTTGGTATACTGACAACAACTCCTTCTTTGACTATAGTCAGATTCCTCTGAGCTCTCTTCTGACTAGGGCTCTTTCTTGGCCTGCTGATGCCAGTTTTTTTATTTTTTATAGAGACAGGGTCTTGCTCTGTCGCCCAGGCTGGGATGCAATAATGCAGTCTTAGCTCACTGCAATCTCGAACTCCTGGGGTTAAATTAAATGATCCTCCCACCTCAGCCTCCTGAGTAGCTACGACTACAGGCATACACCACCACACTCAGCTAACTTTTTTTTTTTTTTGTAGAGATGGGGACTTGCTGTGTTACCTAGGTTGGTCTCAAACTCCAGGTCTCAAGCGATCCTCCTGCCTCAGCCTCCCAAACCAGAGGGTTTACAATTTAAAAAAAAAAATCTTCAAGTTTACAGAGAATCCTCCCCCCACACTCTAGATAGCGAATCAAGCTCCTCTTCCCCCACCCTTGATATCTAATCAAGTTTTTCTTCCCAGAAAGATTTTATTAAAAACTATCTTGCCGGGCTTGGTGGCTCAGCCTGTAATCCCACGCCTTTGGGAGGCTGAGGTAAGTGGACTGCCTGAGCCCACGGGTTCGAGACCCGCCTGGGCAACTTGGAGAGACCTCATCTCTACAATAAATAAAAAATTAAGCCAGGCTCAGTGGCTCAGCCTGTAATCCCGCGCCTTTGGGAGGCTGAGGTGAGTGGATTGCCTGAGCCCATGGGTTCGAGACCTGCCTGGACAGCGAGACCTCATCTCTACAATAAATCAAAAAATCAGCTGGGCATGGTAGCGCACGCCTGTAATTCCGGCTACTCGGAAGGCTGAGGTGGAAGGATCGCCGGAGCCCAGCAGGTCGAGGCTGCGGTGGCCAGGAGCGGCCACTGCACTCCAGTCTGGGCAACAGAGTGAGACTCCATCTCAAAAAAAAAAAAAAAAACTTGGCTCAGCAGGCCAACAACAAGTCCTGGTCAAAAATAAGACTTTTTGGGGAACCTGATTAAAGTCTGGTCAAGGAGGAGTCCTTGTCGCTGTTTTATGAAAATAATCTCCAAGACATTTAGTAGGGAAAAATATAAGTTGATATATACAGCATAATGCCACTTAACTGACAAGCAATGATATGTTATCCTCAGATCTGCATGTATGTGTATAAATGAATTTTTAAAAGTAGGAGGCACTGGGCATGGTGGCTTACGCCTGTAATCCCAGCACTTCGGGAGGCGGAGGTGAGAGGTTTACCTGATCCCACAGGTTCAACACCAGCCTGGCAACATGGCAAGACTTTGTCTATACAATAAATCAAAAAAATTTAACTGGGTGTGGTGGCGCACACCTGTGGTTTCAGCTACTTGGAGGGCTGAGGCAGAAGGATCAACTGAGTCTAGCAGGTAGAGGCTGCAGTGGCCGTGAGTGTACCACTGCACTCCAGTCTGGGTGAGAGTGAGACTTCGACTCAAAAAAAAAATAGTAGGAGAGAGGGCTCATACCTGTAACTCCAGCACTTTGGGAGGCTGAAGTGGAAAGATCTTTTGAGCCCAGGACTTTGATATCAGCCATAGTGAGACCCCATTTCTACAAAAAATTTAAAAATTAGCCAGGTGTGGTGGTATGCGCCTGTCATCCCAGCTATTCAGGAGGCTGACTCAGGAGAATTGCTTGAACCCAGGAGTTGGAGGTTGCAGTGAGCCGTATTGCTACTGCACTCCAGCCTGGGCAACAGAGTGAGACCCTGCCTCAAAAAAAAAAAAAAAAAAAAAAAGAATAGAAGAAAAAGATAAACTTAAAAAAAAACGAGGTTATCTCTAAGAAGCAGACTGGATTATGGATGTTATCAAAGACAACTGTAGCCTTATTTCCTATGTTTTAATTTCCTATGGGAAGAGTTTATTCCTATATCATATGTAATTAAGCAACATGTATTTTTTTAAAAACTAACACCTTCCCTGCCAGAATTTTCACTCTAATACTCTTATGCAATTGGTCTTATTAAGGCAGGTTCACAGAGATAAGGGGACAACTGGCACCATGTTTTCACTATCTTTGTTGACAAGGCATTCAGGTTTTTTTTGTTGTTTTGCTTTGTTTTGTTGTTCAGTTAGAGTCTCACTCTGTCGCTCAGGCTGGAGTGCAGTGGCACACTCGTAGCCACCGCAGCCTCGACCTGCTGGGCTCAGGGGATTCTTCCAAGTAGCTCACCTCAACCTTCCAAGTAGCTGGAACTACAGGCACATGCCTCCAAGCCCGGCTAATTTCTTTATTTATTGTAGAGACGAGGTCTTGCCACGTTGCCCAGGCGGGTCTCAAACCCACGGGCTCAGGCAATCCTCTCACCTCTGCCTCCCAAAGTGCTGGGATTACAGGCGTGAGCCACCACTACCGGCCAGAATTCTTTTACCACCACAGCGATCGCTCTACTCATCGTCCAGCTCATTCCCATGGTCCTACACAATACTTACTGGTGGAAGGAGTGAGGATCATCCACATCGTGGCCATCTGGGGCCAAAGGGTTGGAGAATGGCTCGCCTTACCAAAAACAAACAAAAAAAAGACGTTAATTTAATCATATCTTATGTATCAGGTCCTGTGCAAAAACTGGGGATATAGTAGTGAACAATAAAGAAGAAAAACAAGGACAGCATCAGTGTCAATAAAATGTAGTGAGTGCTGAAGGATCAGCAGACTTCCTGAAGATCATATCTAACATTCTACGCGAAAGGTGAAGGGGCGCAACCCAGAATTAAGTAAAGGGACGGAGCCGGGCTCGGTGGCTCAGCCTGTAATCCCGCGCCTTTGGGAGGCTGAGGTGAG